AGAATAATATAGAAATACAATGTCATATACCTTTATTTATTGTAACGAAATTATCAAAAATAAAAAAACCAAGTTTATTTGTACCAACATCAGATAAATATGCTGAGAATGCAATACAAAAAATGAGAGAAGGAAATATTTTGTATTATAAAGTTATATCATCTCCTTATTTTTTTCACAGAATTCAAATTTGTTTATACAACTGTATACCAAAATTTCTTTTTGATTCTATTTCTCTTTTAACTCTTAAAATTGTTAGACAAAAAGCATTAAAAAAAATGAAAAAAAATGAATAATTTTCAAATTAAATAGATAAATGTGATAAAGAAAACTTTATTTTTAAAAATAATTTAATAAAATTATTTAACTTTAGTAATATTTTATGCCTTTTTTTTTATTTTTTTTTTTCCTTTCTAATAAATTATTTTCTTTTTATGAAAAATAAAAAGTCTATCTATAAAAGTTAAGTATAACAAAAAAAAAAAAAAAAAAAAATTAACACTTTTGTTAGTGTATATATGTATATATTAACACACTTTTAAATCTTTAATTATAATTTTAGCAAAGAAAAGAAGATGTTGTAACAATTATATATAGATTTAAAAAGCAAACTATATTTTTTTTTTTAATTTTACATATTATTTATTATGTAAAAAAAAAAAAAAAAAATTCAATGATAGAATATATAAGAAAAATGATAAGGTTAATTATTACATTTATTATTTCAAAAGTATTATTAATATACAATTAAAAATACATTAATAGTATCTCATTTTCACTTATTATTTATCAATTCAAAATGAAATTTTATAATTATGTTATTTTCTTTTAATTTTTTTCTCTTTAAAAGTTTTTCATTAATAAAACGATTAAGTTTTTCCATTAAAGACTTCGAATAAATTAAAATTGAATCAATTTTTTTTTTTTAACTTAAAAAAATACCTTATTAAAACATATTAAATATATAAATTATTGTTAATTAAATATTATTATAAAAAAAAAAAAAAAAAACGAATTTATACATTAAATTTTATGTTTTAATTTTTATATTTATGTTGTCTGTATATTTTTGTTTTTTCTTTTTTAGTATTTTTTTTTTTTTTTTTTTTTTTTTTTTTTCATTTATTTTCATATATTTTCATATATTTTCATATATTTTTTTATATTTTTTTGTATTTTACTTCATTTTATTTTTAATATATAATTTTTTATTATAATTTATTTCTATTTTTTTTTTAACATAGGACTTTATTATTTCTTAGTTTTTAACCTGTTATTTTTTTATGACTAATTTTTTTTTTTTTAAATTTTACATTTTTGTAACTTTTTTATTATTATTAAATCATTTTAATTTTTTTTTTTTTTAAAGTTCAAAAATGAACATTAATGAAGTAAAATATAAAAGTTTCAAATTTTAAAAATGAAAATAATTTATCCTTATTATTTTATATTTTTTTTTTTTATAATTTTATGTGTAATAGATAAAGTATCATCAAAAGCAAGATCGAATAATTATCAAAATAAAGAAAAAAAAGATGATAATAAAAATCATGTAAATTCTTTGAATAATTTAAATAATTATGATAATTATGAAAATGAAGATATATTAAATATAAAAAATAAAAAAAGAAAAGGAAAGAGTAAAAGTATAGAAGATAATTTAAGTGAATTTATTAATGAAACAAAAGATAATTCAGAAGATAGTTTTAATGAAGAATATAACAAATTAGAAAAAGAATTTCAATATAATTTAAATGAAAATGAAAGTAAATCAAATTTTGAAGAAAATAATTTAAATGAAGAATATGATAAAATGAAACCAAATATGGAAGATTTTCATTACAATGATAATGATGAAGATATGGATGAGGAGGATTTAACAAACATATGGAATAAAAATATGCAAAATTTTGAACCATCTACTTCATTAACTTTTGAAATAGCTAGTAATTCAGAAGAATATTTATTTGAAGAAATAAATATGGAAAATACCTATTTTAGAGGAGTTTTTTATTCTAATAATGAATCTGATGATAATATTATCGAATTTTTTATATCGGATCCTGATGGTAATGTTGTATATAAAAAAGAAGCTAGCGAAGGAATTTTTTTTTTTTATACAAAAAAAATTGGCATATATACTATAACACTAAAAAATAGTAAGTGGGTGGGAAAAAAGTTAACAACTGTTGCATTAGGTTTAGGTGAAAACCCATCTTTAAGTTCTGATCATGTAAAAGATTTTACAAATTATATACAAGAAATTGTACATAGAACAAAAAAATTAAAAAATGAAATAAAATATTTGTCATCTAAACATATGATACATATAGAAAAAATGAAGAGAATTACAAATAAAGCTTTTATTTATTGTTTTATTAAATTATTTGTACTTATTTTTTTGTCTCTTTTTACCATTTATTATATTAAAAATTTAGTATCTAATAAGCGAGTTCTTTAAAATGAAGAATTATTTATAAAAACCATTAAAAAAATTATTATTGTTAATATAATTTTTTATATATAGATAAATATCAAATTATTAACAGATTTATTTATATTTATTTTTTTATTGATATATTTTGAAAAATAATTTTATATCATTAATTTACACAAGTTATTAAAACTATTTTTTAATTTTAAAAATACACATAATATATATATACATGTATTGTTTTTTTTTCTTTTTTTTTTTTTCTTTATATTTCAATATTTAAGTTTCTATAAATATATTAGTTAAAAAAAAAAAAAAAGAAAATACAGTAAATATATTATTAACACAACAGTAAAATTTTTTTATTAATTTTTAATTTAAAGCAAAAATTAAAAAAAATTTTAGTTTCATATATATATATATATATATTCCTTTTTTTTTTTACGTCTTTTTATTTTTCTTTTTATATAATTCATATTTATATTATTTTTTGTTAAAATTTTGGAGTTTTCATATAATATTATAATGTATATTTCTCTTTTTTTTCCACTACATATGTTTGTATATTAATTTTTTTTATAACTTTATTTAAAGAAACCAAAATTTCAAGAAAATTAATGATAGTTGCTTATTATTAAAATTTAGGACAATTCTAATGAATTATTGATATTTTGCATTTTAAAATTTAAAATATTACCTTTGATACATATATAATAGATATCAAAAAAAGAAAAACTATTTTTTTAACAGAACATTGTTGTTATTTATAAGATATGGTTTTAGTATTTCAGATTAATTTTATAAATTAAAAACATTTTTAAATAAACACATTACAATATCTTTTTAATTCTGATTTAAAAGTTATAACAATTTTTTTATAAGAAATAGTTCGTTCAGTTACATAAACTTCTAAATTATTTTAACAAAAAATTAAAAAAAAAAAAGAAAAAAAATATTAAAATATAAAAAGCAAAATTTGTAGAAAAACCAAATTATTTTATTTTTATTTTTATTATTATTTTTATTTTTATTTTATTTATTTATTTTTTTTTTTTTAAATGTAATTATTCTAAAAATAAAAATGTTGTCTAATGAATAAAAAATAAAAAATAAAAAAAAAAAAAAAAGAAAAAGAAAATATCATTAATTAAATAAATAAAAATTAAAAATTTAACAACAAAATTATTAAAGACTATTAACGTAATAGATAGTAGAAAAATTAAAAAAAAATTAATTTTAATAAAAATTAAAAAGTTATTAAAATAATATATCCAGAGCATATATATATCTATGGATATGTGTAGATAATAAGATACAAATTGTAATAAAAGAAAATAAAATAAAAAGGAAAAATAAACTCTTATTATTAAAAATTTTTTTTATTTTCATTTAAATATATTTTTTTTAATTATCTTTAAAATTTTTTTTTTTTAATAATTAAATTTTATATAACAATAATATAAAATGAAGATAAAAAAACAAAAAATATAAACAATTTGACAAAAAAAAAAAAAAAAAATATATATATATATATATATATTATATATTAGAATTACATAAATTTTTATTATTTTTTTTTTTTTCTTTTTGTTATTAAAATAAAAAAGCTAATCAAACTCAAAGAAAAAAACAAAATTAAAAAATTTTATAAAACGGTTTTCTTATTATTTTTTTCGTTCTGTTAATTCATTAATGTAATTTTTATTTTTTCCTTTGTATTTTAAATGTAACTAAAAATTAAAACTTCACCTTTCCATAAGGTGTTTTTTTTTCTTTTTTTTAAACTTTATAAAGATTATAAATTACTCCATTTATTAATTTCCAAAAAAAAAAAACCACAGTTTATAGTTAACTATATTAATTATATTTTCTCCTCTTAATTTTTTGCTGGTTTTCTTACTAAATTTACACTTCATAATATGTATACCCCTGAAAATTATTATCTTTTATTTTTGAAAAAATAGAGTCATTTAACAAAATTTTATTGATATATATGAATACAAAAATTTACAAAATTATAGAAAAAATAATATTTTTACAAGATTCTTCAATAAAATAGTTTTTTTTGTTAATATTTATTCATTTTTTCTTAATAATTATATGGTTAACTATTTTAATTATAGTGTACTGAATATATATATATATATATATTTATCTTGATTTTAATTAGATTTCCTTATTTTATTTTTTTTTTTTTTTTATAATTAAATGATATACTCTATATTAACATTTATATTGTCTATAAAAAAAGAAAAAATAATTCAACTTTGATTTTTCTTTTTTTTTTTTTTTTTGTTTTTTAAATCTTTAATTTTTTTTAATGTTTCTAGTGTATAATTTTGTGTTTCTTTTATATGTATTTTTTCTTTTAATTTATTAAAACAAAGTAAACTATTATTTTCTATTTCTATAAAATTGTTGTTTTTTCTATTTATATTATTTAAGTTATTACTTAAGTTGGTATCTTTTAAATCATTTTTATTAACAAGAAAAATATTATGATCTCCGTTTTCTTTAACTATATATTTGTTCATATCACTGTTTATCATAATTGTGTTATGAAAATCCCAATTATTTTTTTTTTCTTCTAAATTATTTTCATTAAATTTACTAAAAAATTCTTTTTCTTTTAGAACATTGTATTCTGAAAAATTATTTTTAATTACATTGTTATTAAAATTATTTGCATAATTTTTCTTCTTACCAATTTTTTGAGAACATTCAATAAAATGTTTAAAATTTGTTTTATCACAAAAAGGATTTTTTTTAATCTCCTTTTCTCTTGAACTCCAATTTTTTTTTTTATTAGTATTTATATATATATCATTTTTAATATTTTTACAGATCCCATTTAGAATTTCTTTCTTGTTCACATCTTTTTGAGTATCTTTAATGTAATTAATATTCAAACTGTTTTTTTTTTTTTTTGTTAGTTTGCTTTCTTCATTATTAGAATTTTCTCTACAACTTATTTTTTTAGTAGTATCACTCTCACTTAATACAATACTCTTTTCCTTTATAATACTACTATTAATTTCATCATTATCTGAACTTGATTTATTTTCAAAGGTTGATTCACCATTATTTTTTAATATCAACTTATCATTTATTTTATCTTCATATATATCTATTTTTCTATTATTTATATCATTAGATGATTGTATTTTATTTTCTCCTTTTTCTTTAATATAATTATCTATTTTCTTATCTCTTTTTATTTTATCTTTCGCTAATTTATCATTATTGTTTTTTACATCCTTTTTTATAATGTTATTGTTAACTTCATTTTTTTTTTGTTCTATATTATATGGTTCATTTCCTTTTTTATGCTTCTTTGTGTTGCAATTTTCTTGATTTAATGAATTATGTTCAATATTTATTGATTCAGTTTTATTATATAATTCATTTTTATGCAAAATATTATTATCATTATCAATTCTTTTTTTATTTTCATAAAACAAATTATAAAGAAATGTATTTATTTCATTCTTTATATTTGAATCAAGAGAAGACAAATGGAAGCAATTTGTTTTAATATTGAAAATTCCTCTCTTTTTACAAAAATTACATATACTTACTGGTTGCTGTAAAGGAGTATGGGTAAAATTTGAAATTTTTTTAGCATTTTTATAATAATAAGGTGATGTTTTCATAATTCTTATTAATTCTTTATATCTCATTATTTCATCTCTTGTTATTATTTTTATGCAGTAAAAATTATCATCCTCTTCTTTATCTTCGTTATTCATATCTTGAATATATTTTTCTTTTTTATCTATTATATCAAGTTTTGTGTGTGCATTTTCTTTTGGAATTTTATTTTTATTTATTTTTAATTCTTCCATAGTCTTTTTAGATAAATTTTCTTTTTCAAAAATTGTATCTCTTAAATTCTTTTTAAGATTTTTACCCGATACATATACTGTTTTAACATTAACCCTTGTAACAAAATTACATGGATTAATTAAAAAAATATTTTCTTCTTCATTCTTTTTGGAATTTATATTAATTGTTTCTACTTTTTGTGATGACTCGTTAATGTCATTTTTAAAAATTTTTTTTTTATCTTTATTTTGCTCTAATAAAATTCCTATATAATTATTTTTTGAATTATATATAAAGTTACTATATTTTTCTTTTTGTTTTGCTTTTTGAAAACTCCATATTTTTATGTTATTTTTAAAATTGTCTATTAAACTGTTTTTTTCTTGTTCTGTTTTTTTATCTTCATCCAAACTTAATTTATTTTTTGTTTCTTCATTAATTAAAATATTTGTTTTTGATAATTTGAAAAATTTTGTATTCATTTTTTCTTTATCTGATCTACTTTCCTCTGATAAAATAGAATCAATACTAAAAGTATTATTAGATGAAAAATCTTGTGAATGTTTCATATTTATATCATCATCGTTCTTAAAATTTGTTTCTATATTTTTATTAACATAAGGTTTTTCAATTATGCTTTCTTTTAAATTTTCTGAAATACAACTTAAATTTTTAGCTTTATTTTTAATTTTTTTATTAGGAATAAAAAGAACATCAAGAGCTTTAGCATGTATAACTGTCCTAATATCTCTTCTACATAAAAATTTTTCATGCCAAAATCTTTCCTTATCAACGCAAATTTTTAAAAATTTTACAAAAATCAGCTTCCCTTCAATTAATACTAAACCATAGCTATTCAAATTATCATTTATGTCATTACAATTATCATAATTCAAATTAACAATATTGCTACTATTTATGTTACTCGTGTCACTATAATTACATTTAATGTTACTATTTAAATTAATATCATCATAATTATTTTTATTGTTAATTTCACTTTGTATATGAAATGGGAATGTATATATTTCTCCTTTTATTTTTTCAAATAAAGCATCGATACAGTAATTTAGGTTTTGAATAGTGCACTTTAAAATTTCTTTCATATTTTTTAAAAAAATATTTGATTTTTCTTTTTCTTTTAATCCTTCCTGTTTTATCTGTTGATTTATTTTATAGGCATTTTTTCCCATAACTTCGTGTAAATTTCCTAAATCTTTAAAAGTGTCGTTATTACTAATGGATATCGAAGTTTTATTATATAAGTTATTACTATCAAAAAAATCTTTTTTCTCAAAATTTATATTTTTTAATTTTTTATCATTTTTTTCTGCATCATATTTTATTATGTGCCATTTACTAAGTTCAAATAACTTATAATTATTCTCATAATTCATAAAGTAATTTTTAAATTTAATAAATATATGCAAATGATAAAAATAATAATTAATAAAGAAACTCGCTCTTTTTAATTCGTATAAGTAAATTAACCATGTTGCGCTACTTACCTTACTAGCTAAATCTATATTGTGCTCATATTTTCTTTCAAAATTGTTAAAATTTTTAAAAGTAGGAATATTTTTTATATTCGGAATATTACTTAAATTGTTATACTTTACACCTAACTCATCTGAAACATAATTACTTATATTACTATTAAAATGAATATTAGGATTACTAAAAAAAATTGATTGATATACATTTTTATCTACTCTATTTAATTTAGGTATATTTATTCCACATAAATTATTATGCATCAAAGAAGAATTTAAATAAAAATCTCTTAAAAAAAAATCATTGTATAATTTATTTTGCATTTCATAATTATTATTAGTAGTAGTATTATCAGCAGTAACAGAAATATTTTTATTTATAATATGTTCCTTTTTTTTGTTAGAATTTTCATATTTATTATCTTTATTTTTTGTTAACATTTCTTCGTTTTCCTTTCCTAAATTGTTTTCTTCATTATTATTGAAATTCATAATATTGTTGTGAGATTTTAATAATTCATAATTACAATTCATGTAATTCATAAAACAATGAAAGTTATAATTTGGAGAATTTTTTGCATTCATATAATTAATATTTAAAAATGGATTATTGGGATAATATTTATGTAAATTAAAATTACTTGCATTGGAATAATAAGGAAACACATTATTTTTATTATAAATATTTGAGTTATCAAATGAATATTTTATATTGTTTGAAAAAATAGGATTATATGATTGATGATATGTAAAATTATTTCTTGAAATATGAATATTATTGCAATTCTTTTCAGAATATTCATTTTCATTTAAGCTATTTTTTCTTATTTTATCATTGTTAAAATAATCATTATTTGAATCACTAAAGTTTCTTACATTTATAGTGGAGATATCATTGTTTATTTTATTTTTATATGATTCATTATCGTTCACTATGTTTTTATCTGTATCACTATCGATTAATTTGTTTTTATTAATTTCTTTTTCATGTATAATTTTTATTTTTTCTACTTTTCTTTCTTCTATTTTACTTTCATAAGTGTAATTTTTATTTTCACAACTGTTACTGTTATCACTTACTCGGTTTTTATCAAAAGTATAATTCGTATCACAATCATTTACATTTTTCATTTGATTAAGGCTACTTAAAGTATTATATTCATTATTTTTTTTAGAATTTTTAATTTCTGAATATATATTATTTTGGAAATCATTGTTTTCATCGCATTTTTTTTCGTAAATATAATTATTATTATTATTTTCCACTAATTTATAATTAGCAATATTTTTATTTACTGAATTGTAGTTCATATAAATATTTTTATATGTTTTTGTTCTATTAATATATGTGTCATAATTAAAACTATAGATTGGATCATATAGAGTTAATAATTCATCCCACACTCCTCCATGACAAACTGATGATAAAATTTTCTTGTTAATTTCATTTACATCTTTTTTATAACATTTGTTATCATCAATAATGTTTATTGTTTTCATTAACTTTTTTCTAGAATTTAATTCATTAAAAAATATCATCAAAGAATAAAATAAAGGGGATATATTCATTATATAATTTTCGCTCATATCTCTTCTTCTCTCATTATCATTAGTGCCATCATCATGTGTTTGATTTTCATCTAAATCATTATACGTTTTACTATTATTTAATTTTTTTTCATATATATAATCTTCTATATCATAAAAAGTATGCCACTCTTTAATTTTATTTTTATTTAAAAAATAATCACTTTTATCTTTTAAATCAATAAAATTCATATATTTTGACAATATTTTGCTGTTTTTATACATTTTTCTTAAAATGTTTTTTTCTTTTTTTTTTTTTCTTTTAATAATTGAACAATCGGATAATGATGAACAATAAACGGAAATTTTTTCTTCATATATATTATCCAAATTTTTGTTATGAAATTCAACAAAGTGTTTTAAACAGTTTTTTTCATTTAGTTCATCATATTCATTTTTTGAAAATATTCTATTTATATAGTCATAAGAAATTTTAAAAAAATCATTAAAGAATAAATTTACATCTTCCTTTGTTTTAAATTTATTATTAACTCCCTCATATGAAAAATAATTATTATTAAAATTAAATGATTCTCCTATTAAACTTGGACTAACAACATAGGAACAATTAGAATCAGATAGATTACATGAATTACCATATAAATCATTTTCATTATATACGAAATTCGTATTATTTTCATAATTCTTACTATTTAATAAATTTATATTATTATGATCATCTAGAATATTATTTTCATAATGATTTATATTATCCTTTCTGCTATCATTTTCAACATCAACGTAATTTAATTTTTCTAAGCTATTACTAATTGAATTATGAGTGCTTTCTTTTTCTTTTAATTTTTTATTTATATTTGTATGTTCTTCATAATTATTCTTAGAATCTTCTTCATTTTTATGTAGTAGTTGTGAATTAATAAATTCTTTGTCATCATTGATACTGCAGTAATTTTTTGATTCATTATTATTATTATTATTATTATTATTATTATTATTATTATTATTATTATTATTATTATTATTATTATAATTATTATTATTATTAGAGTTGGAGTGTTTAAAAAAATTATTTTCTTTTTTATCACAAGTTATATTTTTTATAATGCAATTTGATGCAGTTCTAATTGAATTTGCTCCATTTTGACGTAAATGAGAATTGTCATCATCACAACTGCTATTCATATTTTCTTCATGAATTAATTTATATGGAAATTGTTCTCTGTTATAATTATTAAAATTCTGCATATGAGAATTATTAAAATAATCTAAATTAATATTATTACCTAACTTTTCTCTATTTATATTATTAATATAATTTAAATTAAAATTATAAGGGTATTCAATTGGAATATTTTGATAATATGTATTACAATTTAAGTTATTAAAATAATTAAAATTTTTATGAGTTAATTCTACATTATTATCCTCTTCTCGAGGATAATTTAAACAATTATTAGTGAATCTATTTACATCATTTTTCATTAGAGAAAAATAATGAAAATTATTATTTAAAATTTGATTTACTTTTAGATTATGTAAAAATAATTCATATTCAGAATAATTATTCTTTTTTAACTCATCAAAATAGGGTCCATATTTTTTTAAATCATTTAAAAATAAAGCTCTTTTATTTAAAAACCAATTTTCATAAAATAAATTATTTGTATTATCATTACAAATATTAATATATGGAATATTACTATTATAAAAATTAATAAATGAATAATTATTCATATTATTTATATCATTTCTATTCTTTGAAATTTTACAATAGTGTACTGATAACATCATCCATAAAATAGTAGGTAATCCCCCTTGTTTCATAGATGGTAATGTTCTAACTTTTAATAAAAACTTTAACATTCTCATAACATTTTTTAAATTAGGAAAATTTTCTAATATACTTAAAAAAAATTCAGTATGTTTTAAAGAATTATTTGTATTAACTGATACATCACAAACAATTTTATTTTTTTTCAAAGTTAATATAGGAACCCTAGCTGAATCAACTAATTGTAGTTCTACATTTTTAAAAAAAGAAAATTCTTCAACATGATCATTTTTATTGCTAATATTATCATCATCAACCACAGCATTATTACTACTTTCTTTTATTTGATTAATATAATTGTAAATGTTATGTAAAATATATTTTGGATTGTATAAATTGGTTTGAATAACTATATCTAAATCACTTGTTTTTGAATCAACTCCATATGCTGATGAACCAACGGTATAAATATTTGTATTATTATTAAATAAATGTTTGATTAGTTTTGATAATAGTAAAAAAATGTTCTGTTTTGTTAATTTTATATCTTTAGATGGTTTTACTTTTTTTAATAAATCCATTAATTTTCTTTCCGTTTTATAAAATAATAAAAAAATATCCTTTTTATATATATTTACATCATTTTTCTTTTTCTCCATTTCATTTTCATTTATATCTGTAGTTCCATTTAATATATTGTAATTCCCAATAAAATTTATAATAGTAGAATTTATATTTTCTTTATTAAATATATTTAAGGATACACTTCTTCTTTTTTTGTGAAATGAAGAGCTTCTCTTTAAATTGTTTTCATAATATCTTGAACTGATACAACTGATGTTTCTTATTTTTTTGAATACGTTTTCTTTTATATTTAAAATTTGCTTTTCTTCAAGACATTTCATTTTTTTTTTATCATTCATTCTCTTGTTATTTTCATAGCAATTTTTATCTTTTTCATCTCTTACATTTTCTTCTAAATAATTCTCATCTTTTATATCATTAAAATTATATTTTCTATTATTTTTATTAATATTATTTTCACAATTTTCTTTCTCTATATTATCATTTAACATTTTTTTTGTAAATACCTTATTATAATCAATTGGCATATTTAAACTTTTATCTATAACTGTTTTTTCGTATATAAGATTATTTTGTTTTAAAGAATCATTTTCATTAATATTACTTTTTAAATTGTTATTATCTTTTTTATAATTATCATTTTGTTTATCATCATTTATATTATATGTATTATTTTTTTTAATGAAAATATTTTCATCCTCATAACAGCTACTTATATTCTTTATATTATCATAACTTTTGTTTCTAATGTTTTCATTTTTTTTTTTATTAATATTATTAATATTATTCATATCATTCTTATTTTCATTATCATTACTTTTATTTCTTATTTTATTTTTATCAAATCTTTTTTTTAATATTTTATTTTTTCTTATAAATCTGGATTGACTGCTAAAATTTCTAAGATTCTTTTTTTCATTATCTAAATATTTTTTTGATTTAGTTTCCAAATCGACACTTCTTATTCTTCTATAATTTTTTATATTGTTACTTTTATTAATGTTATTCTCATTATTCATTTCATTATAATTATTTATATAATTATTTATATTTTTTGTTATGTTATCTTTATCTACATTATCACAAAAAATATTTTTATTATAAATATCAAAAGGAATATTATCAGAACCCACATTTTTATAATATAAATATTCTTGAAGTAATAATTCATTTTCTTTAATATTTGCATCACTCTTTGATGAATCAGGATGATATAAATTATATTTTGAATGTTTTTTATTAAAATTATTTGTATTTAAAATTCTGTTACAATTATGTGGATAAATATTTGAATAACCTGATGGTAACATACCATATGGAATAGCATAAGGATAATAATTATGATAATTATAAAAAGACAAACTATTATTTAGAAATTGTTTATAATTAAAATAAGACAAACAACTGTTATACATTTCTTTATTCATATTAGGAAAACCAGTCAACATATTATTGTTAAGTATATTATTATCGAAATTATACATTCTCTGTTTGTATGATTCGTCAAACTTAAATTTACTTTTTTTATTTTGAGAATATTCTAAAAAATTTTCACTATATTCAGGAAAAATATTATTGGGTATATTTGATTGATTTATTTTATTATTAAAATTAAAATTCTTATAAAAAAATAAATGATCGTTATATTTGAAGTTTTTATTAAATGAGTTCCCTAAAAAATTACACTTTGTGAAAAATTCGTAATTATTAAAAATAAATTCCTTATCTAAATCATCTCTGTTATTATAATTATTAATGGGATAATTAAATTCCTTATTATAATAATTATGCATAGTAGAAATATATGGATTTTTATCATTCTTGTTATTTTTGAGAAAATTTAATTTATTATTATTATAAAAATTTTCTTCTTTTATATTACCACTTTTTTTATTACAATTAATAAAATCATTATTTTCATTTATACCTTTATTTAAATATTTATTGTATTTATTATTATTATCTAACGTTCTACTTACGTTATGAAAATTAGAGTCAATACACTTTTTGTGAATTATGCTTTTTATTTCATTATTTTTTATACTATTATTATTTACTTTATGATTTTCTTCATTATTTTCTTTATCACCTTTGTTATTATTATTATCATTATTATTATGAGTATTTGTATTTCTTTCAATGTCGTCATTATTATCATTGTGCTTTATAAAATTTTTTATGTTACCCTTTAAATTCGGAAGAGAATTTCTAATATAATTATTTCTTTCATAGTGATAATCACTCATTTTATCATTATACATATTACTTTCTTTATCTATGGAGTATTTATTTTTTTTATTATTCATATAATATAAGCTGTTAAGATAATTTGTGTAGTTAATATATAAAAGACTATTTTCGTAATTATTTTTTAATTCATTCATATAATTTGCATTGTATAAATTATTATTCTTAAATAGATTCTGCATATTATTATAATGCATAGTGATATAAAAATTTTTATTAAGTAAATTATTATTTATTTTACTGTTTAAATATTCTAAATGTAATTTATTTGTATTAAAAATATTATTCATATAGTTATTGCAAAAAAAGTCATAATTTTTTATATATGTATTTCCTTCTTTAACGTTTGGATTAAAATCAGACGGATTAAAATATCTTCTATGGATATAAGAACTGTTAATAGAATCTTCATTATTTTCATTAATACTCAAATCATTTTCATTAAAATCATCTTTATTTAAGTAATTTTCACTTAAATCATATTTTTTTAAAGTATTAACATGACTTAATCTATCTAATAATTTAGACTTTTTAATTTTAAAATTAACTTCACTCAAGAATCTATATTTATTATGATAATTTTCATGGTATCTATTATCATCATATAAGAAACCATTTTTAAGGTTGTATAGATTAGTTTCATCTAAATAATTATTATTCATATAATAGAAAGAATTGTTTATTGAAAGTCTGTTTGCCAATAGATTATTGAACTTATTAAATTGATTCAAATTATTTATTAATTTTTTGTCTTCTATATTTTCTTTACTAATGTTATTATCAATTTTTGAATTAATAGGAAAATAATTTTTATTTTTATAAGAATAATTAAAAACGTTTTTGTCAATATTAGAGTTACTAATTTTTATTATATTATCTAAATTATTATTTTTTTTTTCTTGTTTATTTTCTTTAATATTTTGTACTGAATTATTAATATTTTCAAATTTATCTGTAAAACTATAAGTTGAATCTATATTAATTGAATTCTTTTTTTTATATTTTTTTCCATCATTCTTATTCTTCATAGATGCTACTTTATTTTTGCTTATATATATATTACTCTTATTATAATTATTGTTATATTTATTAGTAGTAATATTATAACCTGTCGAAATATTGTCATTATTAGAATTCTTTTTCTTTTTTTTTTTTTTTCTTAGATTAATATTATTTGATGAATTATCCTTTAAATAAAAAGAATTTTCTGAACAAGGTGACTTAATTTTCATACTAGATGAATTATTTGATTTATTTAAAATTCTTTTTTCTTGATAGGAATAATTTGAGTATACATTACTATTTGACTTGGAACTACGAATAGATGAATTTTCAATCAATTGGTTTAGATATTTTGAATTGTTAACATTAAAATCATGATTATTAATAATATTATTTTTCAAATCCTTTTTTTTTATCAAATCAATATTTCTACATTTAATATTCATACTATTATTTACTTTTTTATTTTTATCATTTAATGGAAATAAATTATCTCTATCATTATCTACATCTTCAGTTGAACAATAATTATTTATATTTTTATTACACTTTGTTAATTTAAGTTTATCTAAATGTTCATTATTACTATAACCCATTTTACAATGATATTTATTTTTGTTGAAGGAATTTGATTCATCACACATAGAACTGCTATCATTATTATCATTACAATCTTTTGGACACTTATCCTTTTGTGATAATGTAAGAGTGATTGAATTTGTAGAATTATTAAATTCATATTTTTTTAATGTTTTATTTGCATTGTTAAATTTATTGTCACTATTATTTACTTTCATTTTACTCTTTTTAATTGTATCAAAATTTCTTTTTAATTTTTCTTGATCACTTATAGTATCAGTATTATCATTTCTATCTTTATTATTATCATTATTATAATTATCATCATTATCATCATTATTATCATCATCATTATCATCATTATTATCATCATTATTATCATCATTATCATCATCATTATTATTATTATTATTATTACCAGAATTGGTAGAATTATTATGATTATTATTACTGCTATTATTATTATGATTATTATTATTACCAGAAGTGGTAGAATTATTATGATTATTATTACTTCTATTATTATTATTACCAGAAGTGGTAGAATTATTATTACTATTATTACTTATCTTATTATTATTATTACCAGAAGTGGTAGAATTATTATTACTATTATTACTTATCTTATTACTTATTTTATTATTATTATTATTATTGTGAATATTATGATTACTATAATTTTGATTATTATGGTTATTAAGATTAATGTTAGGATAAGTATTAATATTACTATTGTCTTCATTATAGTTATTAGAGTTATAGTTACAAAACATTTTTTTTATATTATTATTTAAATAATATTGATAATTTATATATGGTAATGCATATAAAGGAACATTGGGAAAAACACCACTATTTAAATCTGTATATGCATAATTAGATGTATTAGAATATGTCATTAATAAATTATTTGATGGAATAAATTTATTAGAATATTCATTATCATTATAAAAATAAAGATAATCATTACATTTGGATGAATTTATAATTTCACCATTAATATTTTCACAGTTATAATTATTATTAATATCACAATTTTGTTGAAATTTTTTATTCCTTTTATTAATGATAAAATGATTCCTATTATTATTATATGGATAATTTTTTGAATTAAAGAAATTTTTAAAATTAGTTTTATCATTTATTTGGATATTATTTATATTACTATTATTATCATAGGAATATAAATTATAATTTATATATTTATTATACATGTTATTCTGATCAACATAATTTTCAATGGAATAATAATTATCACTATCACCATTATTTTTTTTATGTAAAGTATTGCCTTTGTATAAACAATTTTCATTTATTTTTTGTATATCAATATTACTCTTATTAATATTTGATTCATTTACTTGATAAAACTTTATTTTATCTTTTATACATTTTTTGTTATTCTTATTAGTCACTTTTTGAAAATGATCTGCTACATAAAATGATGTGTTAGAAATTGTCTTTTTTTCTATATCTGACACTAAATTACTTTTTGTTTGTTCATCATAATTTATCATACTAGTTTCATTACTAATTATTTTATTTTTCTCTTCCTTTTTTTTATACATATCTTCTAATTTAAAATCGTTATTTTTATATTCATATTTATTTAAAGCTAAAAGGTTACCCATTTTACCTAAAATATTATTATTTGTTTGACCATTATTAATATTTGTCCCCCTTTTTTTTTTTTTTTTTTTTTTTTTTTTTTTTAAAAAGTTTTTAATATCAATGGTTAAAGGTTGTTTAAAGTATGTTGCATTAGCAAAATTTTTTTCTACTATATTTTCACTTTTTATCTTATATTCTGAAAAATTATGAATATTTTTTTTTTCACTAATATAATCAGAATAATAATTAGAATCAATAATATTAGAAGCACTTGCAGTTTTATCATCTAAATTATTATCTCCATACATTAAATTAACATCGACTAATTTCTCCCTTTTTGCTAAGATGTTCATTTCTTTCCTAAATTTATTAACTAACGATATTTCATTTCTTTCTTTTCTATTCTCTAATTTATTTTTACTAATATCTTGTTTTATATGATAAAAATTTTCATATGTATTATCTCCATTTTTTTCCTTAGAATATTTTTTTTTTTTTTTTTTATTTTCTCTTTTTAATTCAAGATTGTTAAATTTGTTAAAATGATTTAAATTATATAAAATTTTATTAATTTGATTCATTTTCTTTTTATATGTAATTGATTTTAATTTATTTTTATTTTTTGCATCTGATGGATGAGTATTTATAATTACATTGTTATCATCTTTGTCTGACTTGATGGGACCATAATATTTTTCATTTATCATGGTGTATTTTAATCTTTTTTTTTTTTTATAATATATTTTATCTGATAATTTATTTTTTTTACAAATATAAATTTTACTATCACTAGCATATCCCTTTCCGATATTATTGGGGTTAACTATATTATCATTATTAATATGCATGTAATTAACATTATTTGTAATACTATTTAATTTTATATCGTTATTTAGAATTTTCGTTTTTTTTTGACTTTTAGTTCTATTTATGTTATTGTTTTTTATTAACATTTTTTTTAATAAATGCTCATATTCATAGATTGAAATTTTTTTATCTAAACTGTTAAAGCACTTTAAAATATTAGATATTCTAGATTTATTAAAATAATCTTCTTCATTATCATTATTTTTTTTATTATATTTGTCCTTATTCATATCACAAAATTCTAATTTTTTTTTTGTATTTTCCATTATAATATTAATTTCTCTGTTATTATTTAAATTATTATTTGTTAATAATATTTTATTTATCTTATTACTCAAACTCCTTTTTTTATTTATATATTTTCTTCCTTTTAAAGAAGATATATTTTCATTTTCATTAATTTCAGGTAAATATATATATTTACAGTTACTCATATTTTTTTTTTAATTTTTATTTTTTTCTTTTTTTTTTTTTTATTTTTAATTTTATAAAAATAATATTTTTATAAAAATTCTAATATAATTTCATTCTATTTTTGTTGTGATTTTATATCCTTTGTGATGAGATATTTTCTTTTTAACTTGAAAAGCATTTTTACAAATAAAAGTTATCTTTTTCTATTATATATTTTACTTTTTTTTAGTATCTTAAGTTTTTTTTTTTTTTTTTTTTTTTTTGAATTAATTTTTTTTTTTAATTTCATTATATCCTTTTAAAAATTCTTTTATAATCATATTAAATAAAATTAGTATTCCATATATTATTTTTTTTTGTATTTACATTTGATTATTATTATTTATATTATACTTCATATATATATATATATATATATATAATAAAAACATAAAATGCTACAATAATATTTTAATAAGAATAAAAAATATATATATTTGTTTTTCAAAAAAAAAAAAAAAAAAAAAAATTCAGAAAAATTTCTTTTTATACAATCATTTAAAAAAAAAAACTCGACAATATAATGATGTTTATACGAATAATATTTTGCCTTCTAAATTTATGAAAATAAAAAGATACATGATATTAATTTAGTTTATATATTTAAAAATGAAATATATGCATAAGAAAAAAAAAAAAAATTTGTAGAATAAAATAAAAATCACTGTATCAACTAATAAAATAGATTATGCATTTTCTATATTTCAATTAAATATATATTTATAAATGTAGTACAGTGAGATAAGAAATAAAATACTTCAAAATTTTATGAGTTTAAATGATGCTATATTAATTTTACTTTTTACGAAAATACTTTTTCCGTGTGTGCATGAATTATGTTTCACTAATTTTTCTATTAAAAAATGAAAGATAAAAAAAAATAATAAAAAAAAAAATAGAAATTTTTGTTATTAGATCTTCTTTTTTTTTTTTTTTTTTTTTTTTTAAATAAAAAAAAAATTAT